GACACGTTATACCATAATTAATTAAGAGCTTGAAGGCGTAGATACGACTGGGGGCTTAATATTATCCAAAACATTTCACACTGGGTCGCCCTGGGAACCAAGGTAATTTTTTAAAATAGAAAAGTCTGGCTCCTTTAGGTCCTGAACCCATGATCTTCGGACTCACAGGGGAGCATTTAGCTGCTACACCATGGCGGCTTCCTTTTTCTGTCGGGGGCGACAAATAAATATCTTAAGCCGGGCATTTAGGGCAGCTTGCGGTTCTGAATCATCAGGTTCAAGGCCCAGCTGTCATACATTGCCACTAAAACCTGGCAAAGATAATTGAAAATTATCATCGGGATTATCGTCAACCATAGGACCAGAGATTCTCAGCAAAACAGAAATTGGCAAGAGGACGAGTTTGGCTGTTTACCGCTTTACCCATGTGCCAGTTCTGACCTATGGGTGTGAGTCATGGGCAGTAACGACAGCTCACAGAAGCCAGCTCAGGCCTCAGAAGGAAGATGTCAGAAAGGAGGTCCATGTGACAGAAAGGCACAACATTTGTAACGAGGATCTTGATATCCAGGCCGTACAAACTCGAGTGCATCAGTCGCAGTTACGATGGTTTGGACATGTATGTAGAATGGGATAGAATCGATCACCATGACCGTGGGAGGCCAAGAACCAGGGTAATAGACCAACTAGGCGACGCAGGGTTCGCTGGGAAGACAACATTCGATGGTCCCCGACTGGAAGGAAACAAAGGTTTTTGGTAATATAGCTATAGTACTTATCAATATTTTGAATTATGTTGCTAAACTGATGGGACACGCACCACTTTCAGACTTAGCAATAATCGTTTATTTTTCCCATTTCAGTTTTGGTCAAAGCCATTTTTACGACCTATGAAATTCTATTTTTAAAATTAACAGTCAAAACTCGAACATGTTAAAAAGAAATACATTATTAACATATAGTTAATGCACACATTTTTAGTCCCCGCTCTAGACTGAGCCAACTGACGATCAGCTGATTCGCTGGGCACGTCGGAGGAGGTACGATTATTGACTTTTAAAATATTTCAGCGGAAACAAAACAGGACGAATATAAAAAAAAAAATTATTAGCACATTGGAGTTTCACTGCAATAATAATAATAATAATAATAATATAATATAATAATAATAATAATAATAATAGGATGATGATATCCTGTAATTTTACAAATAATTGTTTTTTTTTCCCTCTCCCGATTATAGTTGACAGGAGAGGAAGCAAGATGACGTCACATCCAGCCTACAGCTGCAAACTGAAGCTGTCACTGCGGTCCAGCCTGCAGACTTCCGGCCGAGACACCGTCATGACACCCTCATCTGACCTCCACGGCGTTTATGTCCGGTGTTCTAGCAATACAAACCACCAGAATGAAAAGTCTTTCCAACTGATAAGGTCACATAGCTACAACCGGTTGCTGAAGATCAATCAGCGTGACAAGAGCAGAACCTACAGAAAATGGACAAAACATGAGGAACAAACTAAGAACTGTTTTGTCAATGATGTGATTTACAGCAACAGTGAGGAGAGTATACCAGGATCATTGTGGCCAAGCAGTAAGAGTTCTTCGCCGGTCTCCCAAAAAATATAACAATGTTTTACAGCAGGTCTGATAGTCGGCCGAAAGCAGGGGCGACGACACATATATAACACTAGATTGGGACAGGGGTATGGGTGGAAAGGGGGGTGGGTGTGGGCTTAGTGCCTTAAAAATGTTCTAACGAGAGGGAATGAAACAGCTAAAGCCTTGTTCAAGTGGGTAATTTATATATATATATATATAAAGTTCATAAGACCTTCCACAGCAACTGAATATTTGTAACACACTAACATTTGTTTCGTAGGTTTCAGAGTTCGTCTAAAATTTAAATAATACTACTACAGTGCTGTGTATTATGGGTAAAAACGCAATTCCCACATTAAATCTCCATGTATAGAAAATTCTGGATCTCTCAATCATGGGTCTGCAGATGCATACTTTCCTGGATCTTGAGGGATGTTTCTTCACTACTTGATGATCAACCAAGCTCGGCTGCATCATGCACACGGAGCTCGGCTGCATCATGCACACGGAGCTCGGCTGCATCATGCACACGGAGCTCGGCTGCATCATGCACACGGAGCTCGGCTGCATCATGCACACGGAGCTCGGCTGCATCATGCACACGGAGCTCGGCTGCATCATGCACACGGAGCTCGGCTGCATCATGCACACGGAGCTCGGGCTGCATCATGCACACGGAGCTCGGCTGCATCATGCACACGGAGCTCGGCTGCATCATGCACACGGAGCTCGGCTGCATCATCGGGCTCGGCTGCATCATGCACACGGAGCTCGGCTGCATCATGCACACGGAGCTCGGCTGCATCATGCACACGGAGCTCGGCTGCATCATGCACACGGAGCTCGGCTGCATCATGCACACGGCCAGAGTCGCGAAATGTGCTTACTACATTGTTGACGGTTATGTGATCTGAAGCTTGAGTACTAAGAAAGAAAATCTGCACACATCATTAAACAACATTTGAGTACTGTGCTATCCTTACGGAATATCTGTCTCACCCAAAGATATTCTCTTCTTAGTCATTATTATGCCAGCCGGAAATGAATGACTGATTGACTTCGCATGCTAAAGACACGTTTTGACACTACTAACTGTACAATTCTCATGATACGTTACACAATTATTGAACACTTTGACTGTATATATATATATATGTGTGTGTGTGTGTTGTGTGGTGTATATATATATATATATATATATATATATATATATATATATATATATATATATATATATATATATACATGTATAAATATGAGTGCATATATATGTGTGTGTGATTGAATATATTTGTGTATACTTATATGTCTGTTCATATATGTGTATGTATGTGCGTATATATGTATGTTATATATATATATTATATATATATATATATATATATATATATATATTATATATATATATATATATATATATATATAATATAAAGCTTTGTTTAAATGGTCAGAACGATTAGTGTGTGTGATTACAAACCTGGAATAAAATTTAAAAATGCAGTTACTTGACAAGATATTTAGTTTGCAATAAGGGTCTCGACCACATCCACCTTGTTAAGAATCAATAAATACCACAAAACCAGCCAATCTGTCTCTGTTCGTTTCCCAACACACCAGAATATCCTGGACAAAAGATCCAAAAAAGGACTCAAAACTTTCAGCAACCTCCGAAATGATGTTGCCAATCAGTATAAGCAGAGGTTCTCAACCTGTTGGTCGCGACCCTTTTGTGGTCATAGGGATCGTCTAAGACCATCGGCAAAACACATTTTCATTGACGTTATGAAGTAGCAACGAAAATAATTGTATAGTTGCGGGTCGCCACAACATGTAAGTAAAATAAGTAAAGTAAGTAAAGTAAGTAAAGTAAGTAAAGTTCCCCTTTCACGGCTTCAGGCGCATCAGGCATATGGGAAGAGCACCCATATTTTTACAGACCAATCGGCACTAGGTAGGCAATGTGGTCAGCATTACGCCGGCCTTCTTTACTTCCACACAACATGCACCCTGGTACCCACAGATATAAAACACTGTATTTATTTTTGCTTTGATTAAAATTGGCACATAGCAGTTAAAAGTAGGAGGTGGAAGGGAGATTCAGGGAGATTATTGTTAGAAAGGTGCCTCACCTTCTAGGATGAAATCAGGAATCTTTTCTGCTGTTTCGTATAGTCGTCGTTCACTTCACGTGGAGGGTTTGTGGTCGCTACTTTCTGTTGAGAGCCAGCGTTCCAAAGTGCTCTGGTGTTGACGACCATATTATTATTTTTTTATAATGTTATCGTTGAATAGCTTAAAACAACTGTTAAATAGGGCTCTGTTAGGGTGCCACCTCTCAACAAATTTATGCGTTTTCAACCACATAGCTGAAAGATCTTGGGATTTTAGCTAGGCTTATCCTTCCTGCTTCCCTCTCTTGCTCACTAGAAGAAATTTCTTCCGCGATTTCTTTCTTCTGTTGCTGGTGAGGATGCTGAAGCTCTTGCTTTGACAACACAGTCGCGAGATCGGAATGTGAGAAGCGTGCTGTTTTTAAGACAGCGTTCGAGTTCCTTTGCAAAATTTACTTAAAAATTTATTCGGATCCCAAATTGTTATTATTTATAAGGCGTTCGAATTCCGAGGTACTATCGCCTTCACTTCAGCCAATACCTTCCCCACCTTCGTCACCATTTAATCTAGTCCTCTAACATTCCATCAATCCATTCTGGAGATTTTCCTAGGGGACAGGAAATACATCAGCGTTCCTGATTCCTGTCAGCTGTTAACGGGCAAAAGAAGCTAACTCACTTCTGGCCAACACGATCACGGACGCCTTCCAGAGGATCGGGTGGTGGTAGATGTGCATTCCCAGCGGCGACGACCAGAAACTAAAGGTCAGTAGCTCCTTCGTCTTCGATCCTTCTGTAAACTTATATCAGGAGGCTAGTAGCCTTGATAACAACTATCATACAAAGACCTTGTCTCGTTTTTGTCAGAAGGGCACTGAAGCACGGCAGGCGATTCTCAGTGCCCGGAAGTCATAATCCGGGTCGGAACGCCCTCTGGAGATGGTGTGGAAGATAAGAGGCCGAAACATTTTTCTTGTCGGGACTTCTACCGATGGACGGAAGCCTGCTATTATGCACGCTCCCACTGTGAAATACTTTCTACATGTCGGTATTCTATGCTCTGTTTGGAGCGTGAAGAAGAACAAAGGAAACATGTGAGGGAGGTATGGGGGGGGGGGGGGGGGCGGGGGGGGGGGGGGCTGCACATGTTTTCTAGACTGAGAGCGATCAAGAGCCTACGCCTTGTTTAAGTGCGTAATTATACATACATTGCACACATGATAAGAAGAACTTACCGGGGATCCAAGAAATGTTTTCTTTTTATCAGAAATGCCTCTTTTACAGATGAGAATTCAAGCAAGAAAAATTGTCCGGGATAAAAAAAAAAAAGAAAAAAATTCCACAACATAAATTCGCTGCATTCGGGATCGCCTTAACCAGTTTGCACTGTATGTTGTCCCGAATGGCAAGTAAAAGTAAAGTTCCGCCAGGAACTCAACCCACGACCTTCCGATCCGAGAAGAGTGTCTAGCTAGAGTACGGAGGCTCCCCCGAAAAGAAAACTGCTATACATGTTTTTAGAAAGGGGAAAAAGTGTTGACTTGGTCATCTTTCAAATTTGGATGTCGGAAGTTAAAATCGAGAGGATCAACTTCATTGTACAGGATTTTATGCCACGTTATGGAAATGAAAGAGCTGACAGGCTGGCTGGATCCGCTATCACTAATGACGGTCAGCCTATGGATCATGCTGATATTATTAATGCCCTCAGAGAAATGGGAAGGATAGAGGACTTTGATGGCAGTAAATCCACATCAGTCGCCAAAATGGCAGACTTGGGAATTAAGATCTGCATAGCAAAAAACGAGACGCACACCAGACACACCAGAAGACTTGTTAATCAACATAGAACTGGTACTATTAGCCATCGGACGTTGGGGTTCATACTGAGGGAAGGATCTGAGCACCTATGGACATGTCTTGATGTGAAGTTATTAAATTTTGGATCGAACCGACTGCGCCTTCGGATACTAAAAACCTCGGATAAATTAACTGAGTTTTTAAAGTTCATATTCATATGCTTTCACTAAGTTCGTTTTTGTGTGTGTGTGTGTGTGTGTGTGTGCGTGTGCGTGCGTGCGTGCGTGCGTGGGTGGGTGGGTGGGTGGGTGGGTTTGGGTGGGTGGGTGGGTGGGTGTGTGTGTGCGTGCGTGCGTGCGTGCGTGCGTGCGTGTGTGTGTGTGTGTGTGTGTGTGTGTGTGTGTGTGTGTGTGTGTGTGTGTGTGTGTGTGTGTGTCTAGTTAAATTTTTGCATTCGATGTTTTTATGAAAATACCATGCCACAAGACATGAATTTGTACTCAAGAATAAAACCTAGGCTTGTTAATTTTTGCTGAGGCCGAAAACAAAATTATTACGGTCTGAGGAAAATGGCACTGCAAGGAGTTACCAGAGGATCTTGCCGATACTCAACACTCAGGGGAAAGGTGAGATCAATGAAACAGCTACTGGTACCATCTGATTATGAACTCATCGCTTGCTGCTGTAGATTGGGACGGTGCGCTTATGGGAGTGATCAGAGTGCTATGATATCGATTTTTAATTCAACATTCAGCAAAATAAGGGAAATTGTGTCACGGGCTCACATGATAGCTAACCAAACACAAAAAGAAATTTAAATAGCAGTTTATCGGGTAAACCCGGTGTCACAAAATTACAGTTTGAGACTTTGATGACTCCATGGCAAGGCTCATGAAACTCGTCATTGACAGGAGTTGCCACCGCTACCGGTTGTAACTACAGCTGTGAATTTTTTCAGTGATGATCTAGGACAGTGTTTCCCAAACTGTTCTTGGTCGCGGCACTTTTTTAAAATAAAATTTTTCCACGGCGCCCTAACCTAAGTAAAAGTATGACTATTCGTATAAAAGAAATGAAAGAAAAAGCAATAAAACTCATGTGTCTTCGAATATTTCGCGGCGACCCTGTAAAGAGGTCGCGGCTTTTCAGGGTGCCACGGCGCACAGTTTGGGAATCACTTATCTAGGATATTCTTGGATAGTGTGAAGGGACTGTAGCCCACTGCTAAACAGTTACTATGCTTTGTTTTCTGGATAAGGATAAAAATGCTCCGAGCTCATTTAGGCCTAGTACCTGGAGGACAATAGCTCATTTAGGCCTAGTACCTGGAGGACATTAGCTCATTTAGGCCTAGTACCTGGAGGACAAATAGCTCATTTAGGCCTAGTACCTGGAGGACAATAGCCATTTAGGCCTAGTACTGGAGGAACATAGCTCATTAGGCCTAGTACCTGGAGGACATTAGCTCATTTAGGCCTAGTATCTGGAGGACAATAGCTCATTTAGGCCTAGTACCTGGAGGACAATAGCTCATTTAGGCCTAGTACCTGGAGGACATTAGCTCATTTAGGCCTAATACCTGGAGGACATTAGATCATTTAGGCCTAGCACCTGGAGGACATTAGCTCATTTAGGCCTAGTACCTGGAGGACATTAGCTCATTTAGGCCTAGTACCTGGAGGACATTAGCTCATTTAGGCCTAGTACCTGGAGGACAATAGCTCATTTAGGCCTAGTACCTGGAGGACAATAGCTCATTTAGGCCTAGTACCTGGAGGACAATAGCTCATTTAGGCATTAGGCTAGTACCTGGAGGACATTTAGCTCATTTAGGGCCTAGTACCTGGAGGACATTAGCTCATTTAGGCCTAGTACCTGGAGGACATTAGCTCATTTAGGCCTAGTACCTGGAGGACAATAGCTCATTTAGGCCTAGTACCTGGAGGACAATAGCTCATTTAGGCCTAGTACCTGGAGGACAATAGCT